AAATGTGGTAGGGGAGTATTTATTTGTTGTTGGATGGGGATGTGGGTCCCATTTGAATTGTTATTTAAATTGACTAAATTATCCTTAATGAGTGGTCAATTACATATATTTATGTAATTTGACTATAATATTACTACTTATTTACTATATTGCCATTAATGATTGACCATTGTTTATGAAAGTTTGACTTGATCATGTCCATTGATGTGATGAATCTAATGGTGTAGAATCATTCTTATTTCTTTCATTGTGTTTCATTCTCATTTGAGCGCACTTCTATATATATATATATATATATATATATATATATATATATATATATAGATATCAGTAACATGTTTTTTTCGTAGGCAAGCAAATAAATATGATATTTATGGAATTTTATTGTTAATAGTTGTTTTACAAAATTATCTTTTGACCTTTTGCCTTTTTTCCCCTAACGAAAAATATATAATAATTTAAAAACTCGATAAAGTACAATTGATGTGTCAAACAGACACAAGTAGAATCAGAACAAAGTCTGAACCAACCCCATGAGTTCAATTGGGTACAAGACCCTAAAAGCTGCTGGACTTAACTTCGACTAGACCCTAATAAGCAACCCCTTGAAACTTCTGGAGTTTCAACCCCTTGAAACTCCATAAAGGAGACATAACTTCGACTAGACCCTAAAAGCTGCTGGACTTAACAAAACAAAAAGACATAAAGACAAAAGAACAATACACATCTAATAAGCAATTCGATAAAACCTCCCCAAACAACCACCCAAACCGATAACCGAGTCACACACCGCAACAAAAAAATCTAGACTCCATACCCTAAAACTGTGGCCGAACTCGACACACTGGAGGGCTCGAAAATCGGACACAAGGAGGGACCTCCAAGGCTGCACTCAGCCAAGCGGCCCAGCAGACCGACGAACATCTTATGGTTGTGAGCTGCCCGATGGCCACATCCCCCATGATGCAGAGCTTAAGTCGCACGAAACCGAAACTTCCGCGAACTGGCAAATCTCATTGTTGGAGGCTAGACAAGGCGTCCAACAACTCCCTTGCTCTCAGAAGCCAGGAAAAAAGACAAACAACAAGACCCGCCACCAACTGGTTCTCCCACAGAGCTCTGACGGAGCAGAAAGGAAAGCTCCAACTGCGACTCGGCCAAAGCCGTCCTGGAGGGCGCAGTGGCGCGCCCACCGGGGGGGAGGGGAGTGGTTGGAGGCAAAAGGGTTGGGGTGGTTATTTGCAGGAGATGTTTTCTTTTGGGAGGAGAAATTGACAAAGGAAGGGTGCAAAAATACGACAAAATCAACAAAAGAAGAAGTGTGAAGAGTCCAAATGATACGCGAACCCTCCTCTCTCCTCTCGCGAAAAGCCCAAAATCAGATAGAGAAAAGAACCCTTAATTGCCGCCGCATGTGCCTCCATTCCGCCGTCCGGCCGGCAGCCTCTGAAGCGGCACTACTCTGCACCGAGGTGGCGGCGAGTTCCCTGTCCGGGCGTCTCACTCTTTACGGCATGGCGTCTCTCCGGTTACTGGTGGCCATGGCGGTTTTCGGGAGTGCTCCGACGACGGTTCGACGAGTTGCGGCCACCGGCGTTTTCCTCCGTCGTGGTGGGGGATTGTCCTGAGATTGATGTCGTCTAGTCCCCTGGATCCTATCGCCTCCTGGTGTTGGGGCGCTGGGGTCCGACGAGGGGTGGTCGGCCGCTATAGGTGGTGGTCGACTGCCTTGGCCCGGTTTGGTGTTGGGAGGCTAGCTCGGTGTTGGGCTCTCGGTGTAGTATGTGTTTGTTCCGGTGAATGGAGTTTGGGCTCATTTTGGTCCGGATCTAGTTAGGCCTTGAGTGCAGTTTCTAGATCTATGTCGGGTCGGTCTTCCTTCTTTGGGATCCGTGTCGCTTGGTAGTTCTCGGTTGGTTGTGGGCGGTTGCGGAAGGCTTTGTTCCTTTTTTTTTCTTTTTGTTTTGTTTTTGTTTGTGTGTGTTTTCTTCAGTGTTGGTGGTTTGTTTTGTGTTTTAGTTATTGTGTTGTTGTGTTTTCTCCTATTTGAAAACTGTGTATTCTCCTTTTGGGAGCGTGTTATTGTCCTGTTGGGAGCGTGTTATTCTCCTGTTGGGAGCTGTATAGTTTATTGTATCGTGAGTGCGTTAGTTTAGTTGATTCTAAGCTACATCTGTGTAGGCCTCCTGGATTCAGCTGTTTAGCTGCTCGGCTATTCTAGCTGCCTGCTGGTTGTAATTAGGTGGTTTCTATTTATAAAATTTCTATTGTTTAAAAAAAAACAAAAAAAAAAAAAAGAAGAAGTGAGAATCACAATTTTAATTTTTATCAACATAAGGGGGAAAAACAGAGCACATATATATACCATATCCTTTGTTATGCCCTCACATGACAGTAAACCCTTCAGGCCTTCACCCACTCACTAAAATCTTATCACTTTTCCACCCCAAAATCAAATCTTTTAGATGCAAGCGGCGCTTGCAGCCATGGCAGCCCACTCAGTCCTCTCCGCCGCCGTTCAAACACCTCAGCTTCCTGCTCTCTTCCCCGCGACGTCCTCTGTTTCGTCGCAGTCCCTTCCGTTCCATTCCTCCTTCAACGGCGTCGCTGTAAAGGCCAAAGTCCGCCCGTTCTTGTCTCTCTCAGCCGCCACTGCTCCGAGGCCGCTCACCGTCGTCGCCGCCACCAAGAAGGCCGTTGCCGTTCTCAAAGGCACCTCCACCGTCGAGGGCGTCGTTACTCTAACCCAGGAGGACAATGGTATGTATTGTTTGCAATGCAAGATTGGGATTTCTGAATTCGCGGGCGGCATCTGTATGTGTGTCGATGTATATATGTCTATTTGCAATGCAATAATGGATTTCTGGATTCATGGGTCACATCCATAGGAGTGACTTTCTTAGTAATGCAATGCAGATTTTTCCTTGTGTTTTATGACCTGATTCTTGTGCTTTGTAATTGTATTTCTTCTGTTTTTTTGGTGTTTTAGGACCAACTACTGTGAATGTTCGTATAACCGGACTTACTCCAGGCAAACACGGCTTTCACCTTGTGAGTCTTTAACCGAATTCACTAATTTTTCCCATTTTTGACATGAATTTCGAAAACCTCTTTTGCATTATGAAGTTGGTTCTGAAATTTTCTTTTCCTCTCTGTTGAAGCATGAATATGGTGACACTACAAATGGATGCATATCAACAGGTAGATGAATTTTTATATTGTGTCCGACATTTTACTTGAGTGACCTTCCTATTTATATGGTTATTATGTAATTCTAAATTGTGATGATGTTTTCTGTTTACTTATAGGAGCACATTTTAATCCAAATGGATTGACTCATGGAGCTCCTGAAGATGAGGTCCGTCATGCGGGTGACCTGGGAAACATTGTTGCTAATGGCGAAGGTATTCTATTGAGATTCTCAATGTTTTCTTGTGGTCGATAAATTAAATTTGTATTCTGTATTTATTTCACTTCACATTTTGATGGGTCCAAATGTGCTCAACATAGGTGTAGCTGAGACAACAATTGTCGACACACAGGTATTGTTATACAACTGTCTTAAACATTCAAATTGCACTTAAATGATTAGTCATCTCAATATTAAAGTTGTTCTTGTGTGATTATAGATACCGTTGAGTGGGCCCAACTCAGTTGTTGGACGAGCTTTTGTTGTTCATGAACTTGAGGATGACCTTGGAAAAGGTAAGTTCTTCAGTATCTAGCTTATGAACAAAACTCACATTGAGCTTTGTGGTCCTAAAGACTTCTACTGAAATGTTCTTCAGTTCTCAACCCAACAAGATATTTCCCCCATATATTGCTTATTATTTTTAACATTTTTGTATGCAGGCGGTCATGAGCTTAGTCTAACTACAGGCAATGCTGGCGGACGTTTGGCTTGTGGTATGTTTTTTGTTCTCCTGTTTTTATGTCTTCCTACGAGGGCTTCAAACATCGTTTTTAATGCGTCGCAAATTATTGTATTGTGCTCGGGTTTGCCTTAGCTGTCATACGTGTAAATGATCTTAATTGTTGTCTTTGAAGCACAATTAAGATTGTTACTAAAAGTAATAAGTACATGACCATTGGTTTTAGTTGAAGATGGTTTTATCACTTTGTCATGGTTCTCGAACCTTGTATTATTATAAATTGCAAACTTTGATTGCTAATTTGCTATAGGGAGAGGAATTGTTGTTTGGCAATATATTCTAGTAATGTTAAACTAATTAGGATTAACTAACTAAAATTTGTTTCTCAAAAGTACTTGTCAAACACTAGCACATAAATATATATGAGGCCGATAAATGTTTAAGTAAATGCCACCCAATACTTACATGCCGAATTTTAGTTGTATGATCTTAAGGAAGTGATATGGGTTGAATACATTTTTGGTCTTGGAGGGTTGTGCTTGTTTGTACGTAATTTATTCACATTACAAGTTAGTTTTAAATCTTTAAGTTGCAAGGCTTTTATGTAAAAGATAGTGAAAACCCCGATATATTTGCTTTCTATTAATTTAATAATTATAAATTTTTATATCTATCTATCCAAAATTTACATATGTTCAGGGATATATTTATTTTAGTTCTATATTACATATCTACCTTAGTTATTGAGGATTTTATAACACCAATTATTATAACAATATCAAAGTTGGCTTAACATGATATGAAAATGATCCAAGACATGTTTGGTGGCCTAATTATCAAGACACATTCTCTACAAAATGGCTAAGGTAAGTTAATTTTATGACAAATTCATCTAACACAATTATCTTTGATAGCATCTTTTAGGGTTATTGGCAAATTATACCTCGACTTTTTGCGATTTAGTAATATAGTTCAAACTTCTTCGTAATTGCAAATTAATGTCGAGTTTGTTCCCGTTTGGCAAAATGAACCCAATGTTGGCCGGAGATCACTTTTTTTCTAGTTTGGTCAACGACTTAAGGTGACGTGAGAGGTAGAGATGTCATGTCATTAGGGTAATGTCAACAAAATCATGATTAAACCACACCTTTAGAAAATTTAGCGAATATAGATATTAACTTTTTATATGATTACAATTAAGGGCAGGGAAAAAAATGAATAGAAAAGGTACAATATTTCTGCATAATGCATCCTTCCTGATCGAATCTATTATATATAAACATTTACTAATATAGTAAAAAATATATTTCAGCCATTTAGGTGCGATTGATTTTTTGTTTTTTAAATTGATTTCATATGATTTATTGAATAAAGTTAATTAAGATTCGAAAACTTAGATTTAGTTAAAATTTGTTTTTGTTTTAGTTTGTGAATGAATATGAGTTAAAATGTAATGATTAAAATTGGTGTGGTGTAGAATTTGTAAAATAATTATTGGTAGTTAGAAATATGTAAGGGGATAATTTTATAAGATATAATTTAATATTTTCCCTCGATTTTTTATATCTTTCAGTTATAAATTTAACAAAAGCATCCTTAAAGGTTGTATCAGTCTTTTTATAGCAAAAATTGTGAATGCGTATAA